GCTTCTCGGCTGCTTCCTTCTTCTCAGGTGCTTCCGGGTTCTTAGGTGTCTCCGGTTTCTCCGATGCTCCGTCCGTTTTAGGTGCGTCCTGCTTCGCGGACTCTCCTGTCTTTTTAGGTGCTTCAGGTTTCTCGGTTGTCTCCGGGTTCTTGGGTACTTCAGGCTGCTTCTCTCCCTCTGATGAAATTTTGTCCTTTAGAGCTTTTTTTGGCACTTTTGCTTTTCCCCTTCGGTAGTAAAAACGAATGAGCATGATCAGGAGCATGAGTCCTATACTCACGGTAACTGAAGCAGCGGATCCAATAAACGATGTTGCCTTCTCAGGAGTCCAGTACGTATACAACATTGCTACGTAGAAACCGAGAACGGCCACTGTAGCGGGGATCCACCATTTATTCCTGCATATAGTTCGCGCTAGTGTACTACACAGTCCCCTAGTTTGCTCGGTCGTTTTTTCAATTTGTGCCCCATTCTGTGAGCCCACTTGTAACCCTTGCGATCTATCTTTGGGCTTCGATTTTCCGGACTTTCCATCTTGCGCAGTTGCCTTCACTGGGCCTCCACTGGGATTAACGGGACCTTTATTTTGCTCTGGTGTTTGCTTATCCGTTGCACCCTTCACTTCAGTTTCTTGTGGCTTCTTTTCATTCTTTTCACCTTGCACTTTATTCTGTGGGGACTGCGGTAGCGGCTCTTCTGTACTCACCTTCGATTTTGGTTTACCGGACTTTCCTGGCTTTTGCCCGGATGCGAGCTTTTTATCATGACCCTTACCAGGACTGAGCAGTAATGTATTATTTGGTGCTGGTGCTTGCATATCCACTTCAACGGTTAATAATCTACTGATCCTGACACCGAGAGTGTCCTGTTGCTCGGGCCTATGATTCCATGATGTGCCAAATTCATTCGCCTAACATATAGGAAAATACCGAGGCATGTATTTGAGGGCGTTATGCAATGCACAAGTATTCCGATAAAAGAAAAGAATGGAAGATGAATTTTCAATTGTTAGGAGCAGGAATAACGTCATAATCATAGATGTAAATGCCCATTGTACGCAAGCGTTAATTATTGTGTCGTACGTGTTCGGGATATTGCCAGGAGTACAATATGATGCTGAATATGGAAAGTTTCACAGGGAACATCATTTTGTTCTTTACTTCTTTTTTTTGTTTTTCAGCGTAAAGTAGATTCCTAAGAAATGTATTTCTTTGTACTTATAAAGAAGGGGATTATATGATTATTGTTATATGCATTTGTGTTGACAC